CTGTCAATTTTAATAAGTACTATTTTAAAGAATTTCTCCATTTGACGTAAATTTTCAATGTCCCAGTGCAGCGTGGCTCATAATAAACCCTCACCATCTTACCGTCTTTTCAATCTCTGTAGCATCTGTAGCAATACTCCCTATTTTATTTTTGATATTTGCATTTTTCCTCCATTTCCCTTTATTAATCTCATTAGGATTTTACCATTTTTATTAATCATTTTAAATGACCAATTTCAGCTTTGTCAGTATATTCTATTGTAAATTTTGTTCTGCTTAGGACAGAAAAAGCTGCAAGAGAACATTGCTACCTCCCTCACAATGATCTTAGGAATACACAAAATTACCATTTTTGAGCCCATTAGACAACTGAAGTCCCAGGAAACCAGGTGCACCAAATTACAAAATGTGACAAGCCCTTCTAGAAACACAAAATATTTCACCTTTGTGGTGAACCAAATTATAAAATGTGACAAGCCCTTCTAGAAACACAAAATATTTCACCTTTGGTAGAACACAGGAGAATGGGGTGGAAGCCATAAAAGGAGTAAGGAGAAAGAAACTTTAAAAGTTGATTGTGGGTTGTCTTGGCAGTTCAAGGTTTCAGACATGAGGAGATTCTGCACTCACTCTCCAGCTGTTGTTTCGATACATGCACATACCGTCCAATGGTTCACTTAGGATGGATACCACAGTTCTGAGCAGGTTAATCCATCACTTCCCCTCCACCTGCCCCCTCTCACCTCCAGGCCTCTGGTAACCACTATTACACTCTCTGCTTCTGTGAGAACCACATGTTTTCCTTTGTTTGTTTGTTTGTTTTTTAGATTCCACATATAAGTGACATCATGTGGTGTTTGGTATTTCTGTGTCTGGCTTACTTCACCTAACATGATGGTTTCCAGTTCCAGCCATGTTGCTACAAATGACAGGATTTCATTTTTTTTAACAGACAAATATTACTCTACTGTGCATATATGCCACAGGGTTTTTTTAAATCCATTCATCTTTTGATAGGCATTTAGGGCGATTCCATCTCTTGGCTATTGCAAATAGTGTTGAAATGAACATGGGAGTGCAGGTATCTCTTCGATATGTTGATTTCATTTCCCTTGTGTACATACCTAGTAGGGTCATTGCTGTGTCATAAAGTTGTTCAATTTTTAGTTCTCTGAGGAACCTGCTCTGTTTTCCACAATGGCCATGCCAACCTGCTTTCCCACCAACAATGCAGGAGAGTTCCCTTTTCTCTGTACCCTCACCAGCACAGAGAAATGCCCGCATGTCCTCATTCATAAGTGGAAGGTAAAAAACAGAAGGGAAGGAGGGAGGGATGGAGGGAGGGAGAAAGGGTGACAGGGAGAGGAGGTGCCAGTTTCCCAGAGTCTGGGTCTTCGGCCACTCCTCTGAGTTTCAAACCACTCAGAGTTACTGTTGCATGTTGCATCTATTTTCCAGAAAACACAGGAAGATTGAGACTGTAGAGGCAAGTTTGGTCAATTACAGTGGTTGAGCATGCACATTAAAAAAGAGTTTGTGGGCCGGCCTGTGGCTCACTCGGGAGAGTGCGGTGCTGATAACACCAAGGCCACGGGTTCGGATCCCATATAGGGATGGCCGGTTAGCTCACCGTGGTGCTGACACCAAGTCAAGGGGAAAAAAAAAAAAAGTTTGTACTTGAAATGACCTTCCACTGGAGGTGCTAGGGAGCATCGAGCATATTTTAAGTATACTTGGTGCATATGCTGGAATTTGACCACTGTTCGGGTGCCAAAAGGAACAAACAGAGCATGTGCAAGGCTAGTGATACATAAGAATTACAAAACTAGAAACCACCCCTTTAGTTAAACGTTCGTAGATAGCATGAATATGTATGGATAACCAACTATAAAAGATGGAATCCTGAACAAAACAGGGCTGCTGCTCAAGCCAGCCCACACTTTGCCTGTGAAATGTGTATTCCTTATTCCTTATATTAAACCTGCTTTCACTTTCTACTCTGACTCTGCTCTTGAATTCTTTCCTGTGGCAGAGTCGAGAACCTAGCAGAATACAGGGTTGAGGTCGGCTATCCAAACTGCATTTCTCTGCTCATGGAAATGTTAGATAGATGTGGATATATCAGTGGTGAGTAAATTGCCTATTTATATCCTTCGCCCATTTTCATTATTTATTTATTTGTAAGTTCTCTCTGTATACTAATGGAATTGACTCTGTTGTGTAAGATGAATTTTCCCCAGTTTGGACTTTTAAAAAGTAAACAAGTATTTAAAAACTTTATCTGATCAAATTTATCTTTTAATTTTAAATTCCGTATTTTCCTGTATGATTATAAATATTTCCTTACCTTAATACCCATTAAGTGCACATCTATATTCACTTCTAGTTCTTCAACTGTTCCTTTTAATCCCAGTGTAATTTATTTCAGTGTATGGTGTGAAGGAGAGCTGGTTTAAACCAAATCATTTTCAATTTTCTCAACAATGTTTGCTGAAAAATTCATTCTTTCCCTACTGATTTAACTACCGTCTTAATCACTTACTACATTATTCTATATGATTAGATATTTTCTGGGATACAATTCTGTTCCAATGATACAGATGTCTTTTTTTGTCCCATGATAAAAGATTTCAATTAGAGTGATAAGACATTTCTTTATCTCTCCCTCCTTACTGTTATTCTAAAACATCATCCTAGAAATTCTAGCACTCTCTTTTCCAGAAAAACAATTGAATTGTTTTGATAAATTCTCATAAATTGTCAATGGTTTTCATCGCTTAGAAAAATAACCCAATCACAGAATTAAAGCCTCAGGCATTTGGTCACAAACCCACCCTTCTTTGCTTGAATACAAACAGTCTTAATTTTCAGCCCATGTCCTACCATTTCTACAATTCTGTCTTTGCTGCTTTTGTTCTTCCCTCTGAAATGTCCATCCTGTCCTTCACTTTTGAGATATTACCCAATATTTAAGACCCAATTTGAATATCACTTCCTCCACAAATATGTTGAACTTTCAGGAGGAGAAAATAGAACCGTGGTTACTGGAGGTGACAAAAAGGTAGGAGGAGGGGGTCAGCAAGAATTCGGCTAGTGGACACAGAAAATGATTGTGTTTTTTAATGATGAAAATCCTAATCATGCTGACTTGATCATCATACATTGTACACAAATATTGACAGTCAACTCTGTGCCCTGCAAATATGTATAATTAATTGTTTCCAAAAAAAAGTTTTTAAAAGATGTTACAGTGATAAGTGAACTGAAAAATAAATAAAATCAAACTCTCTGCCAATTTACACCCCAACTGTAAAAGAAAATGAACAAATAAGAAGTAAGTGGGAGTCCCCTTGTCCAACAGAGACATTTCCATTGAGATCTCCCCCTCATTATCTTAATTAACACAATTTTCACACGAGGGGAAGATTTTCCACAGAAATGTACTTTGCAGCAAAATTTAACATAGTAAGATTATTTTTCTAGCCCTTTGTTTTTCAGAGCTAACTCCTTTGGGAGAATAAGCTTTTCTCACCCAGTCACTATCAAAAGGATGATATAAGAATGACACCTGCCTTCTTCCAATGACTCATCAAGGGATGAATCTTCATGTTAGATCCACATTTTATTATCTACAGGGCTCATAAGATAAGAGGTTCTCTCAGCTCTGCTGCAAAATTTTGGCAGAATTTTTCCTCCTGGATTTTACTATATTAATTACCTAAAACAATTCCCAGTGTCGATGCAGATGTTTATTTTCAGGAAACACATCTTGATTCAGTTCCTCGTGCTGCTCTTCATCTCTTAGTGAAAATGTTCACAACCCTGACAGCACATTAGAATTACCTGACAGGAGTTTTGTACTGTGTTTGGATTTTAGGAAACCATAGGAAGACTTAATTATTCAGCTACTGCATTAGGTAAGCCAGCATTCTGAACTTCTTGACCTTGAACTCTAAGAGTTGCACTAAAATTTATATCCCTAGAAAAATCATACTTTAAAAATTGAGAATGATGGGCTGGCCCGGCACACTGCTACAGTGTGCCGCTTGGGAAGTGCAGCAGCGCTCCTGCCGAGGGTTCGGATCCCATATGCAGACCGGCCGCTCACTGGCTGAGCGAGGTGCGGGAGCAACACTGAGGGTTGCGATCCCATTGGCGGTCCCGGTCCGGTACTGGCGCGACACTGAGGGTTGCGATCCGTTGCCGGTCACGAAAAAACGACAAAAAGGAAAAAAAAAATTGAGAATGAAACAAAGGAGGTGATTGATAAAATATGGATTATCATTAACTTTTATGTAGCCCTCATATGAATGTTCTCACTATCTATACTATTAAGTTTCACAAAGTTTGATACAAACTCACATGATGTCCACATAAACACAGAAAGGACAATTGCCATCTCCAAACCACATTACATTTGACATTTCTAATATTCTTTAACATGGGCATCAGAAACTTAAAGAATGTATAAGATGGCTAACATATCCAGATAGCAAAGACATTTGCAGTCAAAATTTCTTTTTCTTTAAAGGGCAAACATATCTATGAAACCAAGCATTTTTTTTTGTTGTTGTTTACTCATGAATATAAGGCAATACTGTAATTATTAAGGATGATAATTCCAACTCCTGACTTATAAGAAGTTTGGTGCTTTGAAAATGGCATTATGGTGCTACTATGTGTGCCAGATCCCAAGGCTTATGGAAAAACAAAGAGACATAAGATAAAACTAAAGCAGACAGAAGTTGGTTGGAAGAATGCAGATGGTTAGAGAGCAAACATCACTTGATGTGTCTGTGCCTGGAAAGTTGAATAAATTCACTGGGTTCCCAGAGAGCAAATAGGAAGAACAGTCAAAGCAAGTGACTACAGACAGGGAAGTGGAGTTGCCAGCAACAATGATGATCGTCTGCATAGTTTTTTGAGAAGGAATATCTGACAGTGACATTTGGTGAACTAAGAACTGAGGAGGTGAGTAATGGTCACTTGGAGAAAAAAATCTACCTCCTGAAAAGTCTCCCCAAGGCCCCCTTCATGTCTCTGTTCCTCAGGCTGTAGATGAAGGGGTTCAGCATAGGAGTTACCACTGTATACATCACTGAAGCAACGATGTCTTTGTCATTGGAGTTGTTTGATGATGGGAAAATGTACAGTACCATAATTGTCCCATAGAATAGAAAAACCACAGAGAGGTGGGAGCCGCAGGTGGACAAGGCTTTGCAGATCCCTTTGGTAGAGGGAACTCTCAGGATGGAAACTCCAATACGGACTTGAGAGATTAGGATGCCAATCAGTGGTATGATGATTCCCAGTGCCCCCACAGTGAAGATGACCAGCTCATTGACAGAGGTGTCAGAGCAGGACAATTTGAGCAAAGCAGCAAGATCACAAAAGAAATGAGACACTGTGTTATTAGGAGATGAGGGCAGAAGGACTCCAGGGTTGCAACCAGCCCCGGCTCTGGTTGTGTGAGAACCCCCTCACCACCCCATTCAAGGAGTCTTAGAGGGAATATCTGGAAACGAGCTCTAGAAAGAAGGACAAACTTTTTGTTTCAAGTCAGAAAAGAAATAGAATCCTCAAGTAGTACCAAGATGTGGTATGCTGCTCTAAATTATTCACCTCTGTACTTACCAGCTGCTGAAGCCTAGGACAGTTTGATCCCATGAAAGATGGTCAATAGTTATTTGTTGAAAAAGAACAGGAATCATAAAACATTTTAAGATGAGTTGAGCCTGGGAAACAAACTGTAACAAGAGGCAGGTTTAGGCAGCCAGGGGACACTTGGTCAGATACAAGGAATCAAAAATACATGGCCCTTATTTTCTTAAATAATATCTTTAGTATTTCGAAGATTCTTGGAGACAGAAAGAACCTCATATGCCAATAAACATCATTTTCTTCATCTCTGAAACTAATTTAAACTCCTGGTGCCCCTTTTAGATCTGAAGGCAAACCCATAGGCAAGTAAGGAAAGAGTCCCATGTACAACACAGCTACCCACAGAAAAGATCTATCACGCATCCTACACCACATGTGTTGTGATCATAGGCAGTCAAACTTACTGAAATCACAAACACACATCTTACAGACAGCACATGGGCAACATAAACCCAAATAACATATGCACACACGTTGCTGGGAGGAAATGTCCAGCCTTCTCCGACCTATGCATATATCCGAGATGAAGGCACTCAGCGTGTGAGTCAGTCACACGCAATATGCAAATGAAGTCATACAACACAACACACACAAAAAGTACACAGAACTTTTCTGATGGACACCCACACACAACTACGGAGATTACTAGGCCCCTTCTGATGTACGCCAGTTCTATGAATTCAAATACATTCTGCTTCGTGTTGTTACCTGAATCCTCACTTTCTGTCCAGAAGAAACAGGATCCAAGGGAAAAAAGGAAACCTCGGTGGCCCGAGGATGTTTACAGACTTTCATGTCTGTTCACCAGCTTCAAAACAATAAGCAATATCTCCTTTTACCAACCAGAAAGAAGTCCCAGTGGAAAACAGCCGCAAGTCCCTGACTAGAGAAGCAGTCAAATTGGGCTAATTGCCCCACTTCCTCCTGTCCCTTGGGAAGGAGCATGTTTAGGGTCCAAAGGGGCTGAGCTGCAACTGGAGTCACAGGAGAAAGTATCCCTAATGTCAGTGATACCTTGGGCTTCTGGTCAAGCCACCAACTGGGAAGCAGGAGGTTTCCTAGTCACCTGTGGTCTCTGCATTATGAATTTTGATTCTCTGTACAGCAGTGTGTTGCCTGGGCAGTGTAAGGGTCTCAGCAAGATTTTATAGGATCCCACAACACCTATACAAGCCTCCATTAGAACACAAAGCTCCTTAAAAATTTACTTGTCTCTTCGCTTCTCTGTGAAGCTCTGTAGGATAGGGTCTGTGCCCTGTTCAGGAGTTGGGGGATTGAATAGTGGTCTCTGCATTATGAATTTTGATTCTCTGTACAGCAGTGTGTTGCCTGGGCAGTGTAAGGTTCTCAGCAGGATTTTATAGGATCCCACAACACCTATACAAGCCTCCATTAGAACACAAAGCTCCTTAAAAATTTACTTGTCTCTTCACTTCTCTGTGAAGCTCTGTAGGATAGGGTCTGTGCCCTGTTCAGGAGTTGGGGGATTGAATATATAAGCTCTGGTAAAAGACTTTGGGCTCTCCGCCTTGACTAACAGCATACCTGAGCAACTTGTCAAAGGTCTCTGAGACTGAGGTTCTAAGTGGAAATAGTAATAGTATTTTCAGTGTGCATTTGGAGTATGATTGAATGAGTGCATAATGAAAGCGTTAAGCCTTATTGTTAATGTCTTTGCATCACTAGGGATCAGCTGAGGCACACAATAGGCATTTTGTAATTGCTATTCATTTGTTTATTCACTCACTTGTTTACTCAACAAAAAAATATTAAGGCTTTTACAAAGGTAAGACATTGATACATGCTCTGGAGATGTAGAAGTGAATAATGTAAACAGAAATCCCTCTTATGGGACATATTCAAGTTGGAGGATACAGAAAAAAACTTTAATACAAAATAAATGGTAGGTAAATGATGAAAACTGATGGAGAATAATAAAAATCAGGCATAAAGCTAGTCAGAATCAAGGAAAAGTTTTCACAAATATGTTACAAGGTTCTTTCTCAAAAGACCCTAGAGATCCCTTCAGTCAAGTGGCTCCTGGTCTTTAAACTGGTTTAGGTATGGAAGTATGTGAAGGTTGATGACTCACCATTGCACTGATTTGACTCAGGACTTACTTTTATTTTTCAGACATGCAAATAAATTATTACTTTAGTAGACTGCCCATTCATTGCATTGCTAAAGACCCCACAAGACCTTGCCATAGATCCCTATGAGTTAAAACAGTTTTACTAACACTCTGCCATTGCCACCTAATACAGTAAAGCATCACCTTATTTCTACTGGTTAAACAAAGAAACCTTGGCCACTCTCAGTTCCATTAACCCCACTGTAATTAAGAAGCTCGTGTCAATGGCAGTGTGTCCCATTGTTATACCAGATCTCAGAGACATTGTTGCTACCAGTGAATTTATCAAGGCCTTAGTCAATGGTGTGTTCTCCAAGCCTTTCCTGGAGACATGGGTTTTAAGAGTAGACAGGTTGTACATAATTACTCCAAAACTTTTTATTTTTCTACGACTTTGGATTGCTTCCTCCATATCTGTCTGGGAAGCAATGGCATCTTGATGTTATTAAATGTAGGCCATGGATAAATTGAGGTTTCAGTTGGACAACAAATGAAATGTAGAATGCCAATTTCAATCATTTACCACATAAAATCCAGCATTTCAGATAAGTTTACTTATATCAATAATTTTGGCCTTGAAAGGGACCTTAGACCAGGTAACTAAGGTAACTAAGACCAGCAGAAAATTTCGGTTAGCCATTAACTTGAGAACTGGAAATCATCAGTTCCTGAGGTTAGTAGAGGAAAAAGAAACTGGCCATATGGCTGAAACTGCCCAGAGATGAAATCATGCCCCGAAAAGATCCTTCTTAAATGTTTATTTCTGCTTACCACCCATTACACCCTTTTCTGTTGACTTACTTTAGATGTTGTGAGCCTACAATTAAGGATTGAAACTAAGTTTTCTTGTTTTTCTTACCTCCCTAATCGACTGCAAACAGAGGAAGTTAGAGAAAGGCAAAGCATCCTAGCTGATTATTAACTCACCTTCTTGATTAACAGAAAATCGCATCCACATTAGTCAGAGGTCAGAGTCAGGTATTTTTATGTTCCAGTGATATTTGACTGAGGTTATTGTCTTTGAGCTCTCCCTGGGAGATAAGGACTCTGACCCTGAAATAACATCAGGGCTTGAAGCTGATGTCCATTAATTAGTCCAGTCCACTAACTATAGAATCCATGATGCCAAAGCACCCAGTCCATCATGGGACCCTGACATCTGACTCAGACCCTCTACTGATCCAGTGACCAGGCTCCCCCTTTTTTTTTTCCTACAGGACAAAACCCTTACCTTATCCTCCTACTTCTTTCTCTTTATAAACCCCAGAATAGGCATCATAAGGAAGGATGATTTTAGGCTGGTCATCCCCCAGATGCTGGTTATCAGAATAAACTTTCCAATCCTCTCACCAAAGTTTGGACTTTCGAGTCATTTGTTTAGTTCGAGAGGGCGAGCCGAGCCTGGCTGCTGGTAACATCCTGATTAACCTTATAGTTCACACTTCTTTGTCTAACAATCTTAGAATATATTCTCACACATGTTCTTAAGTTTCTTGTTCACACAAATTAGTAAGGTCTTATAATTACCACTGTCTATATGCTGTCTATTCCTGGAGCATACATTACAATTCTCCTCTGGGCTGTGATGGTATCTAACTGCTGTTATTTGGCTGGCAGGGTGGGGAGGAACATCTCTTGAGTGAAGTAGGCATTTATTTGAAAAGTTACAGATGCTTTAATATCTAAGGATTTTGTAGACACAAAATTGATAATCAGTGTGGATTGAAATGGAAAAAATAGTACATAATTTAGTATTTTATAGTAAAATAAATAGAGTCAAATATTTTGCTTTTGCCAAAACCTTTAGTAAGGCAGAGGTTATGTTAAGTCAATGTAAATTATTTCTTGTTCTCAGAACTTGCCCATGTTTTTAACAAGAAAATAGTTGGTGTTGCAAGAACTATTAGTTGGAATTTTAATTACTTACTGTAGAAGATATATTATTTGGTTATAATGGATTTAAGGAAAATCTAAAAGGAGCTTGGGAGGTTAATACAATATGAAACAAATAGGCTTAGTAAGAGGAAAAGGAGGAAAAAGGAACAGAGGGACAAAAAGAAAACAGAGAAATGTGAGCACAGGGGAAGCACTTCAAGAAGCAGGACTGGGCAAAGACTTTATGAATAATACCTGAAAAGCACAGGCAACAAAAGAAAAAATTAATAAATGGAAGTATATCAAACTAAAAAGCTTCTGTACAGCAAAATAAACAATCAACAGAGTGAAAAAGGCAACCTGAAAAATGGTAGAACATATTTGTAAACTGTGCATCCAGCAAGGGACTAATACCCAGGATATACAAAGAACTCAAACAACTCAATAGTAAAAAATAAATGAATAAATCTGATTCAAAAACGGGCAACAGAACCAAATAGACATTTCTCAAGAGAAGACATACAAATGGCCAACAGGTATATGAAAAAATGTTCAACCACTAATCATCAGAGAAATGCAAATCAAAACTACATTGAGATATCACATCATCCCAGTTGGACTGGCCATTATCATAAAGATAGAGAATAACAAATGCCAAATGCTAGTGAAGATACAGAGAAAGGGGAACCCTGATACATTGCTGGTGGGATTGTATTAGTGCAGCCATTATGGAAAATAGTATGGAAGTTTTTCACACTACAGATAGGGCTACCATATGATCCAGCAATTCCACAACTGGGAATATACCCAAAGGAATGTGGGAGGGATACCTGAACTCCCATGTTTATTGCAGCTCTATTCATAATTGCCAACATGTGGAACCAACCTAAATGTCCATCAATGGATGATTGGATAAAGAGAATGTGGTATATACACACAAGAAATACTACCCAGACATAAAACAGCATGAAATTCCGCCACTTGCAGCAAAATGGGTGAGCTTGGAGAAAATTATGTTAGGTGAAATAGGCCAGGCACAGAAAGAGAAATACCACATGTCCTCACTCATAAGTGGGAGCTAAAACAAACAAACAATAGTAATAATAGCAAGCTTAACTTTTAGAAGAAGAGTGAACTGTGGCTACTAGAGGTGGGAAAGGGGAGGGAATAGAAGGGATAGTGTATTAGTCCATTTTTGTATTGCTATAATAGAATACTTGAAACTGAGTAATTTACAAAGAAAAGGGGTTTATTTGGCTTATGATTCTGGGACAGCTGCATCTGGTGCAGGCCTCAGGCTGCTTCTACTCATGGCAGGAAGCAGTAGGCAGCCAGTGGGTACAAGCAGATCACATGGTGAGAGGAAGCAAGGGAGAGAAAGGGGGAGGTGCCAGGGCTTTTAAGCAACCTGCTCTTACGGGAACTAATAGAGCTAGAACTCACTCACTACCCCCCCACCACCACCACCATCAGGGCACTAATCTATTCATAAGGGATCTGCCCCCATGACCCAAACTACTCTCAAATTGTCATTGTCAAGTTAGGGGTCAGATTTTAGCATGAGCTTTGCATAGGAAAACATATCCAAACTCTATCACTCCACCCCTGGCCCCCCAAAACTCATGTTCCTCTCACATACATAACACAGTCATTCCATCCCAACAGTCCCCAAAGTCTTAGCTTGTTCCAGCACCAACTTAAAAGTCCAAAGTCTCATCTCAGACTAAAGGCAAAACTCCTTCCAGCTGTGAATCAAAAACAAATTTATCTACTTCCAAGACATAATGGTGGAACAGACATTGGGTACACATTCCCATTCCAAAAGGGAGGAATAGGCCAGAGAAAAGGAAAAACAGGCTCCAAATAAGTCTGACACCCCAGCAGGGCAGACATTAAATCTTAAAGCTCCAGAATAATCTTTGACTCCCAGTCCTGCATCCTCGGCACAGTGTGGGGTTTGAGCACCCAAAGCCTTGGGCAGCCCTGCCCTCATGGCTCTGCTGGGAGCATCTCACTGGGCTGCACTGGTGCCTGCAACTTTTCCAGGCCAGCATTGCCTGTTTCCAATGGCCCTGCAGTTCTGCCGTCCTAGGGGCAGCCCCACTCTCTTGGCTGTACTAGACATTTCCCTGGTTGGGCTCTCTATGGGGGCTCTTACCCCACATTTCTGCTCGGCATTGCTCTAGAAGATGGCTTCCAAAGCAGCTCTATCCCTCTGGCAAGTCTGGCTGCCACGTCTCCACTGCTCTCATGTTCTGCTAGCCTGCAAATTTAACACCACATGGACACTACCAAGGTTTCCAGATTGTGCTCTCTAGAGCTACTTCACAAACCACAGTTAGGGCTGCTTGAGGTGGGGCTGCTCCAGCCAGCATGGCTGGGATGCAGAGAGGAGGTTCCTGAGGGCAGCTGAGTCCCAGTTCTGTCCTCCAGAACAACCTGTTTCTCCTAGGCCCCTGAGCCTGTGATTGGAGGGGTGCCCTTCCACAATTTGGAGATGCCTTCTGGGCCTTTCTCTCATTGTCTTGGCTATTAGGATCTGGCTGCCTCAAAGCCAAGCTAATGTCTTTAGCAACCAGTCTATCTGCTGTATCCTTGAGTTTTTTCCCTAAAGTGCTCTCTTATTCTCTACCACATGACTGGGCTGCAAATTTTCCAAATCCTTATGCTCTGCTTCCCTTTCAATTATAAATTCTGGCTTTACATCATGCCTTTGCCACCATAACTGAGCATAGGCTGTTACAAGTAGCAATTCAGCTGTCTGAATGCTTTGCTGTTTGCAAATTTCTTCCACCAAACATTCTGGTTCACAACTCTTAAGCCCCACCTTCCACAAAGTCCTAGGGCATGGACACAATGCAAACAGTTCCTTGCTATGGCATAGCAAGGGTGATCTTTTGTCCAATTCCCAGTAAGTTCCTCATTCCTATCTAAGAACTCATTAATGTGGCCTTTACTGCCCATATTTCTAACTGGATTCTGGTCACCACCATTTAACCAGTCTCTAAAACATTCCAGACTTTCCCTGGTATTCTTATATTCTAAATTCTCACCAACATCTAGGCTTTTTCTAACCTGTTCTTCCAAATTCTTGTAGCGTCTCCTCAACACCCAGCTCCAAAGCTGCTTCCACATTTTCAAGTATTTGTTATAAGCAACATCCCACTTCTCTGGTACCAACTTTCTGTCTTATTCCACTTCTGTTGCTTGGAACTGGGTATTTTATAAAGAAAACGAAATTTACTCCTTATAGTTTCTGAGGCTAAAAAGTCCAAAGCCCAGAGAACACAGCTGTTAAAGGCTTTCTTTGCTGATGACTTCAGTGATGGCAGGGTATCACATGGTGTAATGGCAGAGTACAGAGAGACTAACCTCTTCATTCACTCTCCTTTTAAAGCCATCCAAACTGTGACCATGACCACCATTTTTAATACTCACTATGACATGGCCCTACAATCTAATAACCGCTTCAAGAACCCATGTTTCAATTACCATTATAAGATTTCCCACCCTCTTAACACTGTTTCAGTGGAGGTCAAGTTTTGGGGGAACATTCAATCCAAGGCAGATAGTGAAAAGTTCACTAACAGATGCAAAACAACTAGATAGGATAAATAAGTTCTACTGGTGTATAGTTGAGCCACACTTCTACAACTAGCAGTTTACTGCTTGTTATCAAATGGGTAGAAGAGAGAAGATCAAATGTGCTCACCACAGAGAAATGATTATGTTTTTGTAATGATGACTATGCTAATTACCCAATTTGACCATCACACATTGTATACATGTACTGAAATATAACTCGATACTCCACAAATATGTATCATCAGTTCATTACAAATTAAAAAAGAAAAAGAAAAATCAGAAGACTATGTGTTGGCATCAGTATCAGATAGAAAGGGTTATAGAAGAAAATGGAGAACAGAAAACTTCCTAAAGCCCGGAGACATGAGCCCCAAAGTCTTACCTGCTTACAGTGAACATTTTAAGGGTACAGGAGGACTTGGAGTTTCACTGAAGAAGCATTAATTAACACACAGAATTCAGAGCGCATGTGTGGGGCAAAAGAACAATCAGATGAGTGTAAAGATGAAGGGAAATGTAAAATGGGGCTGGAGAGGAATGTCAAGAGATATAAGAGCTGTCAGTAAGAGTTGTCCAAGTTACAACTGTTAATTGAGAATTCTTGGATGGTCTCTATGACTGCCTAAGACAGCAGGACTGAAGAAATGACATCGTGGGGTGTCCTTGGCCCCAATAAGTTTCTGAAGAGCATGTTTCATATCCTTATTCCTCAAGCTGTAGATGAAAGGGTTCAGCATGGGGGTGACCACAACATACATCACAGAAGCAATGATGTCCTTGTCTTTGGACTTTCCTGGTGAGGAGAACATGTAAACACTTGCAATTGTCCCATAATATAAAAACACTACAGAGAGGTGGGAACCACATGTAGACAAGGCCTTGGAGATTCTCTTGATGGAGGGGGCCCTCAAGATGGTGACTGCCATGCGTATATAGGAGCCCAAAATAGCAGTCAATTGCAGGATGATAGTCAGTCCTCCCTCAGTGCATATAAGCAGCTCATTGAGGGAAGTGTCTGAGCAGGAGGACTTGAGCATAGCAGCAAGATCACAAAAGAAGTGGGGGATGATAGTCCCTGCAGAGAAGGACAACTGGTCCACCAGGAGGGTGTGCAACAAAGAATGGGCACCAGAGAGAAACCAGGACACAGCCACTAGAATGATACAGAGCTCATCCCTCATGATGGTGGTGTAGTGGAGAGGGTGACAGATGGCCACATACCTGTCATAGGCCATCACTGTGAGAAGAAAGCTGTCAATACAACTAAAATGCATGAAGAAATACATTTGCGAGATGCACCCAGCATAGGAGATAAATTGGTCTTCAGAGCACATGTTTATCAGCATCTTAGGAACTGTGTCAAATGAAGTAAAGAGGTCAGTTAAGGCCAAGTGGCTGAGGAAGAAGTACATGGGGGTGTGGAGGCGAGAGTCCAGCCTGATGAGAAGCCTTACATTCCCATATAAAATCTTCACAGCTGCACCAAGAATTTGTATTCTTTCATCCATTTTAGCTTTTAGGAAAGAGAAACATAAATGATATAAATTCCTTGTATATTTGAACTCTACGTATTGCCATTGTCTTGTGGTTAAAATTATCTAATATTGGCCACTTTTTGCAGTTCAATCTGCTGTGCTCTTAACCACTATATAAAAAATTCTCCACTCATTAGTTATGAGCACCAAACACCGTGTGCACTCTAGGGCTGCAAGGAAACAAAAACTGTCCAAAATTTTCCTAGTTTCATGTCTAGGTAGTTCCCTTCATTTATAATTATCATTTTCCAATTGACAGAAAACACTCACATTCACTATGATTTATTCAAACCATAAATATTTATTGAGGGCCTGTAAGATTCATGAAGCAAGTGTAATTCCTTCAATTTTATAGGTGTGAAAACTGAGGCCGGGGAGTGAAGTGACCTTCCCAAGATCTCACAACTGTTTGATAGTGATTCTGCATGTTAACTTCACACAGCAGAATGTCTAAGGTGTCTTATCCTGGGACATGAAGTGAAACAAAGTACTCACATAAGTCTGAGTAACTGAGTCACACTAAGGTATAAAAAAATGATAGCAGATCCTTTTCAGGAAACAGGAAGTTGTCTGGGGCATTAGTTATCTCAGTAGTTGATGCTCCAGAAGAAAATCACTTAAGGAAGTACTTGAGGTCACAGGGGCAAATCAGAAGCCCACGCACACATACAAATCATATATACATGCACACACATGCATTCACACACATACTCACACACTCACACTGCTGATTTGAGGTTTACAATCACCTGTGAGCAATTCCTACCTTAAGGGAAGGATAGCCAGTGTGGTTTGGTTCATACACACTCACATACACAAGTCACAAATAACACACAATCATGTACCATCCACACACAAACACACTTGCAATACACCATTAACACAACACAAACCTGACATGCCTGAAAAACTTACATACCACTCATATATAACTCAAACACTAAGCACACACATTACCAAAGACACACAATTTGAAAATCTCACAAGAAACAGAGATGAACAATACACATACATATTCAGCCATATACTCACTAAAAGAAAAAAGAAAAAAGCAACGTGCATGGTCACACACACACTCCCATTACTGAGTGGGGTGCTTTGGTCCCCTCTAACACATACCCTTACTGGGTGAAGGCGGAAAGCATGGAGCATGAAATAAGAAATTTCCTATGCTTTCTGCTTCATGCTTTCCGCCTTCATCCAGTAAGGATGTGTGTCAGAGGAGACCAAAGCACCCCACTCAGTAATGGGAGTGTGTAACATACACATGGCAACATACACAGAGAACAAAAGTTAGTTACTTATTTAGTTGCTTATTTAGTCACAGGCACAGTTATTAAACCACTACCAGCAGCCAATGCACGTGGTAACATACACACGGTAATACACACAGAAAAGCAGACAATACACATTTCCACTCTCATACACGAGTGTGTCACCCACAAACACAACCACACACACTAGCACACACCGCTGAGCAGAGATTTGAGCCCTCTCTGACCTTGGTTCCTCATTGAGTTCAGGCATCTTCTTCTCCAGGCAGGAGAGCACAACACTTAGCTGAGATTTCATCCCCTCAGCTGTGATGCCCGCACACGCGGGAAATGCCAGTGTTGGAACAACAATGAGGCAAATATTTAAGATCACAGGCATGAATTTGGAGTCCCTAAATCACACTCTCAGGAGGGTGATAACTAGGTGTACATGTGCTAAATCAGGCCCCAGATTGGATCAAACTCAGGAAAAGAATCAAGCTGTGAGTCAGATACCAGCACACACACACATGCACGCACACACACACAAAAAAAACAAAGGCAAACATTTCCCTAAGCACACAGGCAGATCCATTGCAAGGGGAGATTTTCAGCTTCTGACCTGTGCTTATCCTTAGTGAGTTCACACACCTTATGTTCCAGATTGTTGCCCAATCTTGAGTTGTTTTTTTTTTTTTTTTTTTTTTTTTTTTTTTTTTTTTTTTTTTTTTTTTTTTTTTTTTTTTTTTTTTTTTTTTTTTTTTTTTTTTTTTTTTTTTTTTTTTTAGGAGACTCGGTATTAACACAAAAAAGAAGAAATACCTGCAACATCAGTGCTTCTACAAACCTTTATGATCCTTAACCAGCTCCAGAGCAATGGGAAAATGATAACGTTTTAATCACCAGGAAGAGCACTGAAACAAAGTCCGCTAATTTCTGGGTAAGGGAGGAGCCAATATGGGCTAATTGGCCAATTTCTTGTTGCCTTTTGGGAAGCAGCTTGTCCAGGAGCCGGAGAGGGTGGAGTCACAGGGGACTGTGTCCCTGATGCTGGCATTACCTTGGGCTCTTTTCTTCTTGGTCATGGTTCCAGCTGGGATGCAGAATTTTTAAATTTTTTAAATTTGAAATCATTTCAGACTTATGGAAAAGTTGTAAAAATGAAATGAAATATTCCTATATACTCTTTGCTCAGATTCCCCAATGGTTCACATTTTACTGTGTTTGTATATATATATACAAACACACATAAATATGCATATACATATGTATTGTGTGCATATTTCAGGCTATAGACTTTTAGCAGGCATACCACAGTGCATTTTATCACCAGCACACGTTTATCAACTTTTCCTGTTGCTGGTTATTTTATCCTTGATCAGTTGGCAAAGGTGGTGTCTGCCAGATTCTCTACTGTGAAGTTACTATTCTGTATTTGTAATTAATAAGCATCATTTGGATAGATATTTTGAGACTATGTAACCATAATCTGTTCCTTATTAAAACTTCCCCCACTATATTTAATATCTGTTGGTGATTCTTTTTGAGTATTTAGATCCCTAATCCACTTGACACTTATTCTTATATATGGGGTAAGGTATGGATTTATTATTGTCTTATTTAAATGTCAATCTAGTTATCCCAGCACCATTTATTACAAAGTCAAACTTTGCCCTAGTGATTTGAGATGCTACCATTACTGTATGTACTTAGGTCTAATTATGACTTTCTATTCTATTTCCTTGGCCTATTTTCTATTTGTATATTCATATTTATATGTCTTAACTATAGAGATTCATAGTATGTTGTAGTTTCTGACTGGGCTAGCTCTTCTTCATTGCTTTTAGTTTTTAGTGTTTTTGTGGCATTCTTTAATATTTACCAACCTAGTTAATCTTTGTGTTATTCTTCATTTCTTCAAGAATTTTTAAGTGTCTCTTCTCCTAATATCTTTTCATTTGTGTGAAGAAGTTTCCTTGGTATTTCTTGTAGTAGAGGTCTGCTGGCAAATTTTTAGTTTGTACTTCTAAAAATTTCTCTTTTTTTACCTTCGTTTTTTGAAGGACACATTTGCTGATACAGTATTGTAGGTTAGCATTATTTTTATTTTTAGTATTCTAAAGATGCCATTTTTTGTCTTCAAATTTTCTCTTGACCTTTTCCTGCTGCTGTTGTTAAAATGTCAGTTTCATTCTTATGGCTTTTTTCCTTTTGCTTATGTATATTCTTTTCTTTCATTGAGGTATAACTGACAAATAAAAATTGTCTATATTTACTGTGTGCAACGTGATGTTTTCATATATGTATACACTCTGAAATGACTATAACAATAAAGCTAGTTAACATATCCATCACCTCACGTAGTTACCATTTTTTGCATGTGTGGTGAGAACATTTAGGATTCAAGTATACAACACAGTATTATTGACTATAGTCACCATGCTGCACATTAGATCTCCAGCACTTATTTATCCTAACTGGAACTTTGTACTCTTTATCAACGTCTGCTCATTCTCCCCAATCCCCACCCCTGGCGATCACCATTCTACTCTCCGCTTCTATGAATCCAATGCACATTAGATCTCCAGCACTTATTTATCCTAACTGGAACTTTGTACTCTTTATCAACGTCTGTTCATTCTCCCCAATCCCCACCCCTGGCGATCACCATTCTACTCTCCGCTTCTATGAATCCAACTTTTTTAGATTCCCCACATAAGTGAGATCATGAGGTATGTGTTTTTCTGTGCCCAGCTTATTTCACTTAGCATAACGTCCTTCAGGCTCATCCGTGTATTTGCAAATGATGGGATTTCCTTCTTTTGTAAGGCAGAGTAATATTTCATTCTTATATATATTTATATGTATATATATATCACATTTTCTTTAACTGCTCATCTGTTGGTGAACATTTGGGTTGTTTGGGTTGTTTTCATAACTTGGCTATTGTGAATAGTGCTACGATGAACAGAGGAGTTAAAATATCTCTTTAAGATCTACGTTTCCTTTGGGTATATACTCAGAAGTGGGATTACTAGAGCATACGGCAGTTCTGATTTTAATACTGAAGAACTTTCATACTGTTTTTCATAATGGCTGTACTAATTTACATTTCCACTTAGTCCATTCCTATTGCTTACAACATAAATACCTGAAACTGGGTGGTTTATAAAGGAAACAAAATTTATTGTTTACAGTTTCAGAGGCTAGAAGTCCACAGTGCAGGGAACACATCAGGTGAAGGTCTTGGTGGTCGCAACGGTGACCCAGGGGTCTCACATGGCAGGAATGGAGGAGCAGAGAAAGACTAACCTCTCATGTGCTCTTCTTTTAAAGCCCTTAGAACCACGCCCCTGACCACCGTTTTTAATCCATTCACTACTGCAGAGTCCTACAATCTAATCACCTCTTCAAGGCCCTGCCTTTCAATTGCCATAATAGGATTTGCCAACGAGACCTACAATCTAATCACCTCTTCAAGGCCCTGCCTTTCAATTGCCATAATAGGATTTGCCAACCTCCCAACAGTCACAGTGGGTACTAAATTTCTAACACATAAAACTTGGAGGACACAATTCAAGCTTCAATGAGTTGGGCGGGGGGGACATTCAATCCACAGCACTCACCAAGAGTGTACAAAGTTCCCCCCACCCCCCACATTTTTCTTTCTTCTTTTCTCTTGTTTTCTTTTTTAGGTGGCTGACTGATACAGGAATCGAA